ACTTCAGTTAATGACTCCAAGTGCTTCTTCACCCATATTTCAAATGCTAGTGCAGTGCATTATCTGACATCCTGGCAACTACAGTTTTAAAGTGACAATCTGCTAATCAGGTTAAAATTTAACCTGACACTACCCCAAATGCAAAGCAGCACAGAGGAGAGGTTATCCTCTAGGTATAGATAACAAGCATAAGAGGTCAGAAAATTCATGTTGCACAAAGCAAAATACTACAGAACTGAGAAACCCAGTCCAGAGTACTAGCAGGACAGATTTAATTTTTTTTTCTGGAAGATAAGGAAAAAAAAAAAAAGGTGGCTAATGCAGTGGGATGGCTTGTCCACATGAAGTCTCAGAGGAAAGGGAGGGATACCTAAGGTAAACAAGAAATAAAGCCAACTCAACCCTTGCCCAAAACAGTCAGCCAAGTCACATTCTCCTACCTGGTTGCAAATCATAGCAAGACCACAAGAGGGAAGCACAACCCAAGAGTTTACATTTCATGCCAAAATTTGAGATGCACACAGCAGCTAAAGGAGGACACAGTATGTACCACGTCAGCAGGCACTTGGCTTAATCTAGTCCTAAATTAGCAATAAAATGGTATCACTAACTAATACAGTTTGTGACTACCCTTGTTTTGTAATGGCCTACCTATTCTCAGATGACACATGGGGAGAAAAGCAGGATTATCTTCTCTTACAGACAGACAAATTATTGTTCTTCCCATTTTCCAGGATATGAAAAGTAAGACAGAATGTGGCAGACTTCTTTAAAACAAGATGAAACAAGTGATGGAATTTATTTCCCTCTCTCTTAGGCTTTTAGAGATCTTAAGCAAAAATTTGGATCACATAAAGTGTTAATAAAAGTTGAAGTACTCCCCGATCTCTGGAAATCTCCAGAACAAACTTTGCCACAACTTTCACTCCTTTCACCTGTCAGCTCTCAGGCTGATGGTCCATAGAGGACAATGTAGCTTCAACTCCAGCAGCCCCAGGTGTGAAAATCTTGTTCCAAAGTCCCTCAGGAAAAGTCACTGGAACATTCAGTGGCTCAAATTGTTGAAACTGAAACAGGAATAAAACATCTTTAGAAAGTAATCACAGCTTCTCCACTTGTATATTGACTTTCTTTCCTGGGTTCTATTTTTAGGATTAACTGTTTCACAAATGAGAAAGGCAGGCAGGAAGGAAAAGGCAGGCAGGCAGAGGCAGGAAGGCAGGAAAGCAGGAAGGAAGGCAGGCAGGAAGGAAGGCAGGCAGGAAGGAAGGCAGGAAGGCAGGAAGGCAGGAAGGAAGGAAAAGGCAGGCAGGAAGGCAGGCAGGAAGGCAGGAAGGCAGGAAGGAAGGCAGGAAGGAAGGAAGGAAGGAAGGCAGGAAGGCAGGAAGGCAGGCAGGCAGGAAGGCAGGAAGGAAGGAAGGAAGGAAGGAAGGAAGGAAGGAAGGAAGGAAGGATCTTCCTTAGGCAGCAAATAACAGTCCCTCCAGAGCCTTTAACTCTACAGAGCAGCCTGCAGAGAATGTAACTGGCTGGTCTGAGAGAGGTGAGGAGGACTGCCAGGATGACAAGCCCTGGTTTGGAAGGATGGCAGGAATTTGGTCTGATCTCCACAGGCCAAGGATCCTCCCTCAGCAGCTTCTATATGAGACCCAGAAATACAGCATATTTTACACAAAGGAATTCATTGCAGAGGGAAAGGCTGGATATGAAGAGCCTCCTCCACCTGCCTTCCTTGTCAGAGAACAGTCCATTTGTAAAATATTGCCGTGTTGCATCTAGTCAAGATTCATCCAGCTTTTCCAGTCTTTGAATCATGCCCTACTTCCTTTCTATTGTCACATTTTTCCCCCTGTATGGGTTTACTGACCATGATGAAGTCAGCTCTTAATTACCTCCCAAAATGTCATTTCACAAGCCCTTCATCAGCCTCTGGGATCTTTTCTGAATTTCTGAACTACTGAAAAGTAGGGTTTTTTTCACTACTTTTCAAAAAAGTAGTTTTGCACTTTTCACAGAGGTTCACACATGGATTTAGAAAGAACTATTTCCTCTTCTTAGCATTGAGGTCAACAGTAAAAGTCAACCATACATTCTCTAGCTCTGCTGTTTGATAGTCAGTAGAATTGTAAAATCACAGAATGGTTTGGGTTGGAAGGAACCTTAAAGATCATCTAGTTCAAATCCCCCTGCCATGAACAGAGACACCTTTCCACTAGATCTGGTTTCTCAGTGCTCCATCCAGCCTGGCCTTGAACACTTCTAGGGATGCGGCATCCACAATCTCTGGGCTTGTGGGATCACAAACCCACATTCTCTGGGCTCATCACCCTCACAGCAGAGAACTTCTTTCTCATATCTAATCTAAATCTACTCTCCTTCAGTTTGAACTCATTCCCCCTCGTTCTGTCACTACATGTCCTTGTTCAAAGTCTATCTCCTTCTTCCTTGTAGGCTCCTTTCAGGTACTGGAAGGCTGCAATTAAGTCACCCCAAAGCCCTCTTTTTTCAAGGCTGAACAAAATCAAATCCTTCAGCTTTTCCTCATAGGGGAGGTGCTATTCTCCCCTATGATTAGCAGGTCCATCCTGCTAACCATCTTGGTGGCCTCCTCTGGACTTGCTCCAACAGGTCCACGGCTTTTCTGTGCTGGGGACCCCAGAGGTGGTTGCAGCACTGCAGGTGGGGTCTCACCAGAGCAGAGTGAAGGGGTAGAATCACCTCCTCAACCTGCTGCCCACTCTCAGGTCCAGGAGTCTCTGCAGCCCAGGACAGACATGACTTTCTGGCCTGTGAGTGCACACTGCCAGCTCGTGTCCAGCCTCCTATCCACCAGCACTCCCAAGTCCTTCTCTGCAGGACTGGAACAAGCAGGCATCCTTTCATCAGCTCCTGGCTCAGACCCACAGCTTCGCTGAATATTTAGGGAGCTTGGCTTTTAGAAATACACGCTAACTTTTACAGTATTTTCAAGACCTAGTGAAAATAGAGATGTTTAAAATTCCGATTGCTGACTGCCTTTAGTTTTTTCTCTTCCTACTTCACATGTGGAAGTTAGTTTTAAAAACAAAGAGCCTGACTGAGTCAGCACTCACCACTTCATTTCCTCCTTGTCCATCCCTTTACCAACTTCTTCCTGCCTTCAATATGAAGTTCAGCCCTTTATCTTCATCAGCTTGGGCCACTGACCTTACCCTGAAGGGCATCCTGACCAACAGGGTGAGTCTGCTCTTCACAAAAGAGTCCCAGCATGGAAGGGTTTTTTCAGCATAAAGGGACAGACTCAGAAGGTGCCACAGAGCTAAAACTACATTTTATATGCTGCTATTAATGTGCAGCACTTCTCATCTGCTATCACTCCACATAACAGCCCATGACATGCTACCTTTGACTACAGAAGTAGAAGGTAAATCAGGAATGAGTGGGCAGTATTTTTCAGAAAAAAATGAGACCAACGTAATGATCAGTCTTAAAGCATGGGAAGGTACTTTTCTCCACAGCACATTAAAAAAATCATTGAGCTATGATACAGGATATTTATTATAAGGGCCGAAGATATAAATGGGTTTAAAAGGCACAAGGCTAATTGGTGGAGGGAAGAATCACTACTGGCTTTTCATGAGGGGAAGGGATGCAGTGCTTGGCTCAGGTAAATACTAAAACCATTGCTGTAAGAGGCTGAAAGTGGCTGCCTGGGTCATAGTCACCCTCAGTACACCTCAGTTCCCTGAACACTTTCTGCTGGGGCTGGAGCCACCACCCATGGTGAGACAGGTTATTGGGCTTGCCAAATACTGCTGTTCTGTCCTCACCTCTCTGGCTGACATCCAGACACACCTCCCTCGGCTCTCCACGTACTGAACAACAGCCTTCTCCCCTTCTGGGCAGCAGGCACACACACAACTGGCTGCCACTTCCACATGAGATCCTGGCTGAGCCAAGAGGCTGTGGCACTGCTTCCCACTGCATGGCAAGGCTCATTGCCAACACAGGCAGGGAACAAGAGGAGAGGCTCTGGAAGGCTGCCTGTGTTCAATGATGGCCCTTTGGTGCAGATGAGTTGTGTGTCTCCTCCCCACCTCTGCCACAGGGAGAAAAGAAAGTCTTCTTCACAGGATTTGGCTCCAAACTAAGAAGATGAGAAAATCATCTTTCGTTGTGCCTCCAATTCCCTGCACAATGCAAAGCAATATTGTATGCTACTTGCAGAAGGAAATAACATTTCTTTCTAATTACTGCCTTGCACCTTTAGACTGTAGGCTGTACAGTGAGAGACTGTCCCTTCCAACACTGAAAATGCTTATACAGGGCTATACAGGAACCTGTGTAATAGGCTCAATATCCTTTAGAGAAATCTCTGCACTACCATAATAAATACAATGATCTTGCCTCTTACAGATACTCCGTGTATGACCTTTCAAAATAAAGCATTGGAGTAATTGCAAAACAAGTTTCTTGTATCAACATACAAATGCCATCTGTCAAAAAATGAAGGCAAGAATTGTGTCATACTGAGTGCCAAGGTCTATGTCAAGATCTATTTCAACATATTTACATTCCTCTCATTCTGAACGCATCTGCATACCCTGAACACAGAGTCACTAGGAATGGAATCACTAGGAACAATTAATAAACACCTGTTGCCTCCCTTGGCAGTCTGTCCCTGAGTGCTCAAGTTTCCCAATACTGAGAGATTCTCTTATTTATCTGCTTTATAGCTAATAATACTTAGTGTAGTAGAAATTGCTGTTGTATAATCCTCATGTTGTAACAGACTCTCTGAAAGGGAAAGTATTTAGCTTTTCCTAATGATGGTCACATTCCTCATCTCTTTTCTGGAAATTTATCCCATGGCTACTGTGCCTTCAATGTGAAATAAAAAGAAATCAGTAGGGGAAAAAAAATCCAACAAAATATGAACTTTTCTTTCTGAGTTTGTATAATTGTACTTACTGCACTGAGAGGAATGTACCATGATGTTTTATTTTCTGTTCTTTTGGAAGGGGATGAAGGTGAAAAGGGAGACAGAGGAGAAGTAGGCAAACAAGGAAAGGTTGGACCAAAAGGACCAAAAGGTATTTATGATGGTTTGTTGGCTACTGCTGTTATATGAATATCATTATACACAATTGTACCGATGCATATGATTGGTGTTTAATGCTATTCATTCCTGTTTCACCAGTGGATTTTACAGTCCTGTCAAACATTAATTGGTGAACATAAAAATACTTATGTTGGTTCTATTCCTACTCTCACTTAAGACAAATATATATTGCTGTCATGAGTGTGATTCAGAAAACCTAGATCTTATACATAATCAGAAAGATTACTCTTACTAAAATTAGCCTTTAATTGAAATTGAATTTTGAGCATTATTGCCTAGCAATACATCAGGGTGCTCAATAAAATTTGGTTTCAGTTGTCTGTATTCTGCAGAAGGCATACACACACACACACACAAAAAGTTCCTCTGATCAAACAGCATCCAAGATGAGAAAAAAGAGTTGCAGATGTTTCACAACTTGGCTCAATTAAATATGTCCCATATCCACAGTGTCACCTGGGCAGATCATTTGGACGCACCAGATGTGACCATGTCAGCCTTGTTTGCATACTCTAATTTGAAAGCTTAATTAATATTTAGTGTTTAATGACAGTGCATATCCAAGGTCTTTCTTCCTTGACTGAGTCTTGAGACTAAACAGGAAAGTTTCTGTTTTTACAGAAACTTTAAAATGACAATTATTATTGTTATGATAAAAAAATTTTCCCATTTTTAAATGCATTCTTATGATTTTCCTTCTTACCTTAAAATGAATATCAGGTAAGATACAAGCAATTCAGGGAATCAACCATTTACAAAGCATCTTATTGATGTTAAATTCCTTTTGCAAACTGAGATTGCCTAGATTGGCCTGTTGTCATTAGACAGCTATTTCAGAACTTAAACTATTTATTAAACATTTTAGAAGGACACCTGTTACTTTGGTGCTCTGAAAACAGGGAAAACACATACAACAAAATTAGTAGCTCCCTACTTGCAGTCATGCTTTGAGAAGGACTCCCAGCAAAGCTACAAAGACTTAGGAAAGTGTTTTGTCTGTCAGCCTGGTTTGACTGCAAAGTAAATCACTAGAAATATTAGTTTCTCTTTTCTCTAAGACAATATGATGTTTGAACAGGCAATTCTATTGAGGTTTTTTGCAATGTCCTACTGTCATACCCTACAGGAGCAGAGATCTGTCCATACTCTTCCAAATATCCCCAGGGCTGCACTCACTTTGCTACACATGCAGACTGGCCACACTCAGGAAAAATAGCAGCAGTAGAGACCTAGACAGTGCCTCAGGAAAGGAATGTCAGCAACTGTCCATACTCATTTCCTCTTCATTTCTTCTCTTAGGAAACAAAGGACCAGTGGGCGATGTTGGTGACCAGGGAATGCTTGGGAAAATTGGTCCAATTGGTGAAAAGGGTAAGCTCTGGTCTGGGGATTTTCTTGGGGTTTTTTCCCTCAAGGTAAATATGTAGTTTGAGAGATCTCCAGATACAGAGCAATATTAGAAAATGGCATCACCAATGCTCTCCAGATAAAGTTATGCATAAAGATTGGTGATGAGAACTAACTGAAATACCTTAGTTTTATTTTCCATATGCAATATATCCAACTAATTTGGTTAAAATAATTTCTTTTTTGAGTTAAGACATCAATCCTCTTTGATGAATCTAGTTGAACGTGTTCCTGCTCATTGCATAGGGGTTGGGCTAGATGAACTTTAAAGGTCACTTCCACCTCAAATTATTCTATGATTCTGTGGTAGAAGAGAAAGGGAGAAATCCAGTTCCTGTGAAGTAAATCCTCTGGACACTCCAAGAGACAAATTTGTGCCTTTGATTTGGATGCTAAAGGCCTAAGTCAATGTCCTGCTGCTGCTGGGGATGCCACACCTTGTCACCTGCACTGCTGTGGGTCATGTGAGCAAGCAATGCATAGGACATCCCTGTCTTGGTAAGGAACGAATTCAGGGGTTAAGAAGGTGCTCACATAAGCAGGGATGGCAACTACTTGCAAATCAAAGTAGACTCCAAATCTGCCTGGACAATAATTTCATGAAATTGTGCTCTATTTATCTTGAGAAGAAGCTCCGGCATTCCTTTGTGATATTCCTAAAGAGCTACTTAGAAAGGAATATTACTTCTGCCACAAGGAGACCTGCCTTGAAAGCTGATCAGGGACACCACCACTGCTGAGAGAGCTCTGGGTACCACATCACCTTGGCTATACTGTTGAGTGGGTGGAACAGTCTCTCTGGAGAGATTCTCAAAGCACTGTTTTTAATAATCCTTTCATGGCCTCTAGCCAGCCTTAGTATCAGGCAAGAAGGAAAGATTTTTACCTGAGGGATTAATTTTCAGAAGTGCCTAGAAAACTGAAAACTCAGAGGGTTATCTCCTAAGATGTCTTCAATTCCCAAAGGAGACAAGAATGAAGAATCTCACAAGTTGCTTTTCTTTATCTGAAAGTAAACCAACAGTCTGAGCCTTTAAATTAAAGTCTCTTTTAGTCTGAATGCACAATTCATTGTCCCCTTACAGTTTTTTCTCATTTTCTTTATTTGCAGAAGCAAAGGTCACTAAGTCGCTGTTTAAATCTATGATTAAACATTTGAGTTCTTAAAGAAGCAACCCTGAAATTCCAGCTTCCAAGTATGCAGTGTCAAGCCCTGCTAATTAAAATGACAGCCAACATCTAAATTCTTTGAAAAACCACAACCATGTAAAGTAAAAAGTACATAAAAACATGGTCATCAATAAAACAGAGCAAGTATTATTATTTTTCACCTCTGAAGGTTTTATTCATAAAAGAGCTAACATGAATTTCAGATAAAGACCAGCTGTTCCTGACCCAAATTACAACTGAGATTTTTTTAAGAGCTGGCCGCCTTCAGTTATATAACATTTGGAGAAGTATTTCTATCATTTTTATAATTTATGAAAGAGAGGGAAAGCAGTTGGATGCAAATAAATCACGTTTCCATAAGCTGAAGGTGCTGCTCCTTAATGATCTCCCTCCATGCAGGTGCCAACTGCTGCCCACACGTGCATTCTCTGGCATGCATGAATTCAGTGGCTTAGAGCACATCTGCTGCCTCATCTCACCATGGAACTACTGAGTCTGGGGAAAGGCCCTGTCTTGGAGGCCCTGAGAAAACCCAGATTTCACCTTTTCAGGATTTCTTGAGTGCATTTAGCCTCTCAGGACCATTTTGCAGTTTATATTTAAAATAAGTGGTACCAGGAACTAGCAGCACGCAAGATGCCTGTGTTATCAGTGAGTTAGCTATTAAAGGGTTCTCATTTCCATGCACCAGAATTAATCATGGTTTGTTTGACTTGGCACATCTTCCAGTACAGTCCATCACAGCTTCCTATTAAAAGCACACTGTTAATATATTATTAAATGTTTTTTTGAATATGCTTCCTTGACATATGCACTGTCTGAGATCTGAGAATGTATTTTCCTCTTTATTAAGGTGACAAAGGAGCCAAAGGCTTACCGGGGGTTTCAGGAAAAAAAGGAAAAGCAGGTATGCTATGCATCCTTCTGTGCAGAATGGTGAAGTCTGCTGGATCTTTAATTTTAGAGTTGGTTTGTATGGAATTCCATGAAATTTTGAAGTCCAAGGAAAAACACGAGAATAGATTAAATATAAGGAAGAGATTGAAAATGTTTTGTTGAACAAAATAAAGGATAGCGTAGGGACATGACTGATTCCTATGAATACACCAGCACACACAAAATATGAAGGCACCCAAATTCATGGGCAACGTTTGTTACCACAAAAATTAACACACAGGCCAGCAGTATGCATTTAAACTGGATACTAGAAGAAAGCTTCTTAACATCAAAGGAATTGAGTCATTTAACAGTTTCCTGATAGGAGCATGGGGACGAAAAATAAGTGATTTTAGATAGAACATAATCTTTTGTCAAATTAATGCAATGCATTTGCTTACAGGAGGAGAATTTGACTCTGATGAACAAGAAAGTTCTTCTCAGTCCTAAGAAACCTTGAATGGTTACCCACCTTGAACTTATACTTGTTTTATACTATATTTTCAAGAAATTTCATATTAAATGTTCTTAATGGAAAACCATTAGTAACTTATTTTCTTTCTGAGAAAAACAGAAGAACAAACAAAACCTCTACAAAGCCAAACGCCAGTTAAAAAAAAAAAAAAAGAAAAAAAAAGGAAAAAAGGGATTAGCTGAGACTTCAGCGCTTGAAAGCTATTGATTATTTGGGTTGGTATTAACTTGCTTAAGCAAGTTAGCAAGGGAGTGCAGAGACCATACAGAAGCAAAACATTAAACATTTGATCAACAGAAGTATAGCCAGTGGGGTAAGGTGAGAGCAGAGCTTTGAGAGCTTTGGAAGTGGGCTACAGGAGACTCTCTATGCACGCACACACACACACACACGCACACACAGATGCTTCTAAATAGATAAATCCTCTATCCTTTGTATTGCATCAGGCACGGTCTGTGACTGTGGAAGATACCGCAGATTTGTTGGACAATTGAATATCAATGTTGCTCGTCTTAACACATCCATCAAGTTCATGAAAAATGGTAAGGACCCTTACATATTTGATGGGATTTATTTGACTCCAATAACCGATATCACTGCTATTCTTCCACTATATAATGAAAAGCACAAGGAATGATTTGCTAACCACCTCTGCACTGTATTTCTGCTCAGGTTTTGTGGTCAGTCAGGCAATATAAGGCAGCAGTTTGTGCCAGTCTGCTCCAGAGAGGCAGGAAGAGCAATAAGAACCTCTTGATCTTTCTGCTGCCTAGACAAGTACTCCTGGTGCTCCCCTCAGTACACGCACAATTTTCCTGTAACAAGGGACCAACACTCAAGGATATGGGTTATAATAAGCCATGTTTGCAGGCAGCAAAACATTGGGTTCCTCTACTGAAAAGAAGTCAATTCCCTGGCATAAAAGTGATTTTGAGACAGCTTTACCACTGCTTCCAGGACTGGGCTGTATCAGTAATTAAATGAATTTGAGACTGGTCTTTGTCACTGTGGGCATCCAGCACGGAACAACACCCATCTATATTAAAAACACTAGAAAACTGAAAGATGTATTATCAAAGAGTGTCCCTCTACTATATTCTAAGCTGTACCAGGGGTAACTCCTGAATTATCTGGGAGAATGTTAATTTTCCCAGACCAAACTCTGCTCAGGACCATTCCAGCAATCCATCAGCAGAGACAATCAACTTCCAGCAGCCCAGGCATGCTCCTTGGCACTGCTTAATTCACTAGGCTATATGCTCATTGGTTGAGAGGTCTGACTTTTAAAGCTGCTGAGTAATCACAGTTTTCTTCCTAGTCAATGTCACAGTGCTACAGCAGCTCTGAATATCAGGCCGTATCTAAAATATTTTAACTTGGCAGTCACATTCATTTTCTTCTACATGGAAAGGGCCTGAAAAAGCTATCTGTACCTGTGTTTTTGTCCCTGGGCACTCTTTCACAATCTGTATTCAAGAACATACAAAGCAATAGGGTGATCCAGAATTAGACATTGCCATTTGACCATTTAGCATGCCTTATGTTGATTAGTACTAGATATCCAGGAAATAAAAATGAAGTGTCACAGGAGACACACCAATTAGGACTAAATAGTTCTTGTCCTAATGTGTGCTAAATGCTTGACAAACCCATTAGTCACATCAATCTCTGATCATGTCCTCATCATTCTTCATAAATACAGTGGTGGGAATACTATTCATACTTCCCTTTTATTAATTCTAATGTAAAAATCATCTCATTGTCATATTGTAATAGAATAACCTTACGCATCTGTTGACAATTTTTCTTCTTCAAAGTTATAGCAGGTATCAGGGAGACAGATGAGAAATTCTATTACATTGTGAAAGAAGAGAAGAATTACAGAGAAGCCTTGATCCACTGCAGGGACAGAGGAGGATCACTAGCCATGCCTAAAGATGAAGCAACCAATGCCCTGATTGCTGACTACATCTCCAACAGCGGCCTGTTCCGAGCCTTCATTGGGCTGAATGACATGGAAAGAGAAGGACAGTTTGTGTATGCAGACAACAGCCCACTGCAGAACTACAGTAACTGGAAGCAAGGGGAGCCTCATGACCCAGCTGGTCATGAGGACTGTGTGGAAATGCTCAGCACAGGAGAGTGGAACGACTCTGACTGTCAAGTCACCATCTACTTTGTCTGTGAATTCCTCAAGAAGAGGAAATAAAAGTGACAGAGAATGTTCCTGGCACTGGCTGTACATAAAATAACCCATCCTCATTCATTCACAGTAGGGAGAGCAAATCAGGGATAGGAAACCAGGGACAGGGCTGAATCCAGCCTTCACATCACTGGGCTAAGCAAGAGTAACTACTGTTTTGTCACCGGTGACTGTGACACCGGTCAGGTCAGCACAGGTCTGAATTTTTATTTCATTTCTACATGCATTTTAGGATTGGCATTTCTATGTGTAATTTAGGGGTAAATTTAGAGCAGAAGTGAATATAATTTCACCAGTTCCAGAAATAGTAAGATCTTTGGTATATGAAGTACTGATGTGATTTGCATAGTCCACAGATAGAAAGAGCATGACGTTCATTAATCTCTGACTTGCACAGGGAGTCGCAGTAATTTCCCTAATGGCTTCAGAGATTGGAGAAAAGATTTTAAGTATTTCTTGAAAAAATCCTTCTTTTGTTAAAATCATAATCTGAGGTGGGAGGTATCGCTGGAAGTCATTTGGTTAAATCTTGCATGCAAAATAGGACCAACCTCAGACTTAGAAGTTGTTATACTCTCCTTAATTTGTCTGTGCAACTATATTCCAGATAGGTATTTATCTGTAATAAATAAAGCCTTTGACACGGTCCCCTACAGTAACATTCCCTTTAAATTGGAGCGGTGGATTCAATGTAAGGTGGATAAAGATGGTCACATCCAGAGGGTGTTGGTCAACTGCTCAGAGTATCAATGGATGTCAGTGACAAGGAATGTCCCTCAGGATCTGCAGTAGGATCAGCACTATTTAATATTTTCATTAATGACACAGACAAAAAGATGAAGTGCACCCTCAGCACATCTGCAGATAGCACCAAGCTGGGTGGTGCAGTTGACACACCTGAAGGATGGGATGCCATTCACAGGGATCTGGATGCCACCCAGAGGGACCAGGTTTGAGAAGTGGCCCATGGGAACCTTACGAGGTTTAACATGACTAAGTGCAAGGTGCTGCACTTGAGCTGGGGCAACCCCTGGTATCAGTCCAGGTGAGGGATGAACAGATGGAGAGCAGCCCTATTGAGAAGGAATTGAGGGTGCTGGTGGATGGGAGGCTGGACATGAGCTGACAATGTGCATTCACAGGCCAGAAAGTCAAACCTGTCCTGGGCTGCATCCAAAGCCCTGTGATTCTGCCCCTCTACTTCACTCTGCTGAGGGTCCACCTGCAGTGCTGTGTCAGCTCTGGGGTCCCCAGCACAGAAAGGCCGTGGACCTGTTGGAGCAAGTCCAGAGGAGGCCACCAAGATGGTTAGCAGGATGGAGCACCTCCCTTATGAGGAAAAGCTGAGAGATTTGGTTTTGTTCATCTTTGAAAAAAGAAGGCTTTGGGGTGACTTAATTGCAGCCTTCCAGTACCTGAAAGGAGCCTATAAGGAAAATGGAGATAGATTTTGAACAAGGACATGTAGTGACAGAACGAGGGGGAATGAGTTCAAACTGAAGGAGAGTAGATTTAGATTAGATATGAGAAAGAAGTTCTCTGCTGTGAGGGTGATGAGCCCAGAGAAGTTGTGGATGCCGCATCCCTGGAAGTGTTCAAGGCCAGGCTGGATGGAGCACTGAGAAATCTGATCTAGTGGAAAGAGGCCGTGCTTACAGTGTGGGGTTTTGAACTAGATGATCTTTAAGGTTCCTTCCAACCCAAACCATTCAATGATTCTACGCAGAAGAGTTCTCATTTACCTCTGTTTTCAACTCTATCATCCATCAGGCTTGCCTGAATTGTGATGAATTAATAGTACATAAGCATGCAAGCCTGCATCTAAAAGCAGATGGAGCAGTTCTAGTGTCTGAAGTCCCCAAAGTCTGTGATAAACATACAGAAGTCTAGCACAAAGAGAACAGTGGAAAGGAAGCAACACCATTTCTGTAGGCTGTAAACAGGCACGTGCAATATAAGCTATACCATGTGCATTTCTGGTTTAACAAGTGATTCTAGGAACATATTAACTCCATAACTCAGAAGCCAGTGACGTTTGATGTCTAATGCTAAAATCACCCATGCCTTTGTAACACAGGAAGGAGCTATAGAACAGGTTTTATCCCCCAGGAACCCAGATTCAGGTGTGGTTGAACAACTTGGTAATGCAGTTCAGAGGGACTCACCAAAAATAATGAGCACTGAACATGAAGGCTCTGCTGTCACTGCCTGGCTACTTAGATCTCCATGTCAGAATGCCCACAAAGAATCACATATTCATATATTTGAGAATACTGACAGAGCTTTTCAGACACATAAAGTGCTTAGTCATGGTTTGCCTTTCCTCACAGCAGGAGATCCCAAGAGAAACCTTAGGGTCATTGCAAGGCAAGTCTGCAGGTTTTCTTTCCCACTTAACACTAAAAATTAAGGAAGGCTATCTGGAAGCTAAGGAGAATGCTAGATGCTTGACACCATGCAACAACATTCCCTGCAGATCACTGAGCACTGGGTGCACGTAATCCTCCTCTGGGTATACAAAGAGCTGGACATGCCATCATCTAGTAATGTGGAGGGTCAGCTCCACGTCTCCCTTCCACTGCTGAGTACAGCACTGAAAAGGCAACCAAACAATCATACGTCCTCAACTTCACCCTAAACAGGAAAATTCTCCAAACCATTTGCCTTGTTGTTTGACTCCAAGTTCACTTCAGATCATTGACCAACACAGAAGCATACCAGGGGACTCTGTGACTCAGAACTGCTCTTGTAATCTGGTTTCTCTGACACTTGTTCCTCCAGAAAACCTACTGTTGCTACCAGCTGTAAATCATCTGTCTTGCTACACACCCTCCTATTCAGACCTGTGAATAAAGGGGTGGGACCACATTTCTTTTCATTGCTCCTCTTCTATGCTATGAGAATATTTGGGAAAACAGGTTCACTTTGCATGATGTAACAGCCTGAATTGTTCCCTCTCTGGGAATTGATATTCCTCAACACTAGGCAGAATTACATTTTTTAGGATCTATTGTAATAAACTCATTAAGCTAAACACTTTGGTTTTAGAAGCATTAATGGGTAATGATAAAGAATTAATAACTAATTAAAGAAAAAGCTTCTTGAGGAAAAATAATGCCTTTGAGAAGTTCAAGCCCAAGGCTGCTGGCCTCATCCATAGCAGGTCAGTTCCTACCAGTCATGCAGAAGTGGCATAGTAATATCCTTGTGGGTAGGCACAATCTCTTCTCAGCACTTCATCTTTATTTCTGCCACCAAAACTGTGCTTACCTGACTGGAGGTCTATATTCTGAAACCCTCTGGCCATACTGAGACCACTGGCTGAGAAAATTTAGAGGTGTCCTTAATGCTACATCCATCATGGATAGGCCATTTTCCTGTTCTTTAAGAGAAAACTCAGAGCTGGGAAAAGGTCAAAGTGGAGCAATACTTCTTTGCAGGATCAGGCTCTGTCTTAGATTAGACCAGCTGCTCTCCAAGACATTCAAAATCAGGAAATACATGTCTAATTGAAACTTCAGGGTTTTTTTAGGTGACTGTGAGTTATGAGTAATCCTGGACCATGCTCCATGTACAGGAAGGAATGACTATTGCAGCCTCTGGCTTCGTGGCTGAGTGAGGAAGTGAGTGAGGAACTTGTGCTGGATTTCTACAATGGAAAGGCTGGGACTGCCCACTTCTTCCATCTTCATCCTCTACTACCACACCAGCTCATCCTTTCTTAAATAGAAAAAAAATGAACAAAACCAACCCTTTTACCCTCTATGTATTATTGGAACACTGGGCAGAGCTACATCAGCTGGAACAAGCAGACTTGGGATGGCAGCTCCTTTGCTAAATAGAGAAGAGGGACAGCAGAGGAGCACAGCAGATGTCCAATGTTCAAGGCAGCCAGGCATAAGTGTGAACAGGTGCTTGTGCACCCCATTCCTGCAGCACTAACCCCAGTTAATAAATTTTGCCAAGAAGCTCAACTCACAGGCCAGGGAAAATAAAAAAGCTTATACCACAGAGGAAACCTGGCAGGTAGGTGCCTGCCTCATGCCTTGTGGACACAGGCTTGTGCCTTAACTAACTGAAATATTATAGCCATGTTTTGAAGAAAAAATATGCTTGCTATAATTAAGAATTTGGGCTACATCAAAGGTTTCCACTGCTAGCCAATGTAAATTCACTGTGGTGGATAAATTATCTTAGGTTTATACATTAGGTGGATGGAGCCAGGAACATAGGAAAAGGTGTCATACTATGCATGATTTATGGTCTGTTAAAGTGTGACACCTAAACCATTTTACCTAATCCCAGTATATAACTTTTTCACATGTTTTTCTTTCCATTATTACCAGGCCAAATATTCTTGTTTCAATTTATGCTTGCTGTTTCTTACTTACTACTTAACTTCCCATTGTGAAGAGCCTGGCTTTGTCTTCTTGAAGACACCCTCATAGGTGCTGGCAGGCTGCTATCAGGTTCACCTGAAGCCACCTCTTCTCTGGGCTGAATAAATCCAGTTCCTTTGGCTCCTCCTCACGTGGCTCCAATCATTCTGGGGAGTCTCAGCTAAACATGGCTTACATTTCTCATTGCCTTTCCTGGAGGGACTCAAAAGGACACAGTGCCTAGCTGTGGTCTGACAGGTACTGAGCAAGAGCATAATCCCTTCCCACAAGCTCCTGGCTGTGCTCTCTCCAGTAGTCAGGATGCCATTACCTTCTTTGCTGCAAGGGCACACTCCTGATGCACAGGCCATGTGCTGTCTGCCAGGACTCTCCAGAGCCTTGGCAGTAAAGCCAGTCACCCCCAGCATCTATTGATGCAAAGGCTCACCATTCCCAGGTGACAGGAACTTTGTATTCATTCTTTCTGAATTTCATAAGGTTCCTCTTGGCCCATTCCTCCAGCCTGCCTAGGTTCTTCTGCATGGTAGCACTGTCCACAGCATATTCACTGTTGCCTCCAATTTGGTATCATCTGCAAACCTCAGGAAAGTGGATTTTATCACCTCCTTGAAGTATCTGGTAAAGATGTTAAACAGGACTGTTCCAGTCTCTAGATCTCCTGGCACTCTACTAGGTAAACAGGAAAATGTTGTCTGGGTAGAGAAAACTCATTTAACCTCTCCCCTCTAAGCCAAATCAATCAATTTTTATCCATACAGACCATAACATCCTTCCCAACTGGGATACAAGGATGTTGTTGGAGACAATGTCAAAAGCCTTGATAAACTTGAAGTAAATGATAGCCACTTCTCTCCCCTCATCCACAAATCCAGTCATAGAATCATAAACAAAATCAGGCAGTCAGACATGATTTACATTTGGTAGATCCATGCTGATTGTTTCTGATCACCTCCTCCTTCATATGCCCAGAAACATGCTCAAGGGGACCCGTTCCCTTAAGTTCCACAGGGACCAAAGCAATGCTGACCAGTTTATAGTTCCTCAGATTGTCTTTGGCCTTCCTGAAAAAATGGTGCAACATTTACCTATTTCCAGTTATTAGGATCCTTCCATGATCTCCATAACCCTTCTGATGTGATAGACTGGCCCTGCAGAGACATCCAATTTTTTTTTTTTTTTGGCACCTTGAAATGTGCCAAAAAATGTGCCACCTTGAATGTGGCCTGTCTGCCTGCTTCCATGGTGCTTTCTGGTCAGACTCTGAAGTAATTC